TACTTGATTCAAACGGACTGCTTGTAGGTATAGACCTTTCATTTATTGTCAAAATCGAAGCAATAACTCAACAAACAAAAAATCCCAATCTAAAGTGCATCTGATTATTATCCAATATGGTATGAAGGGCAGTGAGAACCAATGGTTGAAGTACCACAGGTGAGACTCTAAATCGCAGGCACTTATAGCTGTAGGTACATATCATCCTTGAGGTAAGACACTGACAGACTGAGGGTGATGACTACCTGGCTCTACAGATTGTAAATTTCCTGCAAACTGTTATAATATATAGTATGTTATAATTAATAGTTAGAAGGCAAGAAATAGGCTAGTTATAGTACTATTCTTGTACTACTTCATGGTGGTTTAACCCATAAATCACCAAGCGGTCACCGGTGACCGCTTTCCACTAATATTACATTACATTATAGACCTTATTTGTAATGTTTAGAGACTACTTTTGTATGACCAAATTTAGGGGGTGGATTTCAACGGGTTAAAGTAAACTAGAAACAATGGGCCAGAAGTCAAGTAGCCATTAATAAATAACAAGAATTTTAATCTCCCAGATGGCAACGTAAAATAGTATATAGTATTGAAATAATATTTGATGTACATGGGCAGTAGCCGTATTCATGAAGCATTTGTGCTACGTACCAATCAGCAGTTCGGAGAGAAGATCCTTGAGTCGCTGAAGCAGGAGGAATTTTGATTTATTTTACTTACTAACTGTTACTTGAATTTACTAAAGTACATATAAATAACGTGCCTAACACTGAACGCTATCAAAGAAGCGGAAATATTGAAGTATTTTAATGATTTTTACTATTTTTATAGTAATTTACGGCACACCGGAATATTTCCTTATGACAATTATTATTTTATTGACATTGAATTGACGGTGGTGCTGATGACAGTCAGTGAATTGACAACTGACAACAGATGTTATTGACAATAAATAAGACTAGCTGTTTGCCTCGACATCGTCCGCGTATAATAATGACTTCTGGCAAATTTTGCATTTCATAATAGGCAACACTGATAGATTATATCGATAAATGTATTGGTTTCAGTTATTACAGTAAACAATAATATACAACTAATATTAACTATTACTAAATGAAAATATATACAACTTAAAATATAAATAACTATGAACTAAAACATTTACACCTTAAAAAAAGGCTATAATAAGGTATAAAAAAAAATTTTCGTCATCGTTATCGTGAGGTAGGGTGCCCAAAAGACTGGCAGCATTGCCACGTTGAATGGCAATGCTTAACCTTTGTCCTTCGATCACCTGAAGTGTCAACCATCCTCCTTACAATATCTTTGTAAAGAAGATGTGCACTTGGGCCCCACGGCCCTAAAGTTTCAACCCCAAACAGTTCGAAAGCATAAAATTGCCAATCAGGCTATCATACTTTCGCCGTTTGAGGTTCTCGGCAGCACCGGCTCGACACGCTGAGTTTGGAAGATGGGATGGCGCCAGAGTATCAACGCAAGTGCGTCCCATACTAAACGCCTACCCATCTTCCAAGGGAACAATGACATACCGTAGGGGTCTCTTGCAGAAACAAGAGCTCGACGAATTCTGTCATTAATACTTGCGTATCGAGCAAAACGACCCGCACTAAGGCTGCACGACAAGCCGTGGTGTCCAAGGCTGTTGACATCTTCACCACAATGACAACGATGAGGTGAACAAAATTATTATTTCATAATTAGTCTTTTCCAAGGTTAGTTGCAATGCTGTGTAACAAATCTCATCAGACTCACTTTAGTTATATTTTTTGTGAAATGTTGTTTATTTCCGTGATTTCAAAAAAATTATTGAGTGGAGATAGTAGAAAGAATTGAAAGTAGCATAGGCGACATTGTGTTTCTTTCTAACCCATCACTTCCGTAAACCAGGGGCTGGAAGTTTATATGGAGCATTTCGTAATTTTTAAGAAACCTAAAATTAGTACTATATTTGTCACCAGCTAAACATTGCGCACCAATTCTTTTTTATCCTTCGTAAATCTGCCCTCAATACTTTAAAAGAGCGAAACCGTGGGCAGAAGCTAGTCCATGAATAAAATATATTCGGTTAATTGAATTCGTATTTTTTCTTTAAAGTCACTGTTTGTAGAAAACTCCAAGGTGGTAAAATAATTTAAAGCAGTCGAGTACAATTAATAGCGTGTAATTCGAACAATGACAAAAAACAGATTGATGAGAGGTTACAGAATACATTAATATTAACTACAAATACGCCTAACGTGCGCTCGTTCGCGTCATTAGCCAGTCGAGTGTAATTGCCTTTATAAAGCAGTAGGCGCTTCGACATGCCCCCGGGCGTTGAAAGCCTTCCTTTCAACCAGCTACTGATTATCATCGATCGGCAGCGGACAAATTTTACTAAAAGATCTTCTGACCACTCCAGTCGAAGTTTTAATCTCCGCTACGCGAGCAACTTGGTCGGCACCTGGGTACAGCCGAATAATTCTGCCCAGCTTCCACTTGAGGGGAGGCAAGTGATCTTCCTTCAACAAAACGAGGGAGTCGATCTGCAAAGGGTGGTTGGAAGTCTGCCATTTAGTCCGTTGTTGGAGTTCCGACACATACTCTTTGCTCCACCTTGTCCAAAAATGCTGCCGCAATTGCTCGATGCGATGGAAGCGGGTGAGATGGGCAGCATTATGATCTTGAAGATCCTTTGTTGGTAGCGAAGTAAGAGAGCGTCCGATCAAAAAGTGTCCAGGGGTTAACGGCGTCATATCGTCGGGATGCGAAGACAAAGGCGTGAGTGGCCGTGAATTTAAAATGGCTTCAATCTGGACCAAAGTAGAATTTAATTCCTCGTAAGTGAGGTTACAATTTCCCAGCACTCTAAGCAAATGATATTTTGTGGATTTAACTCCCGCCTCCCAGATGCCCCCAAAATGAGGTGAATAGGCAGGAATGAAATGAAAGTCTATTCCTTCATTTGCTAAGTCACCAGATATTTCATCCGAATTGGTTTTTAGAAACTTTGCCAAATCATTGTATGCTCCGACAAATGTTGTCCCATTGTCAGAGAACATCTGTGTCGGTTTACCTCTACGTGCAATAAACCTACGTAGAGCTGACAAATAACCGTAGCTAGTCATGTCACCTACCAACTCTAAATGTATTGCCTTAGTAGTGAAACAGATGAACAACACAATATAAACCTTCACTATGCGACAACCGCGACCTTGACGACTAGCGGAAGAGATAGGGCCCGCGTAGTCTACGCCAACGGTTTGAAAAGGAAAACCTCCCGGTGATAGGCGCTGCTGTGGTAAATTACCCATTATTGGTGCTATAACCCTTCCCTTCATCCGAGAACACCTAATGCAGCGACGATAACAGGCCCTTGCCAAATTACGTCCCCCTATTGGCCAATAAGCCTCTCTAATTGATGCTAACAATAATTGTGGCCCAGCATGCATGAGCTTTTCATGTTCAAATTCAAAAAGCAAAACTGTAAAAGGATGAGTGGACTGTAGGAGAATTGGATGCTTCTTTGAATATGTAAATGTAGAATTTTCAAGACGACCGCCAACTCGCATAATTTTAAAGTCATCTATAAATACATTAAATTTAAGCAAATTACTCTTTTTTGTTAAACGTTTATTATTTACTAAAGTATTATATTCACTGAATGACTCCATCTGAGACACTCTAATAATGACGTTCAGGGCGTTACGTAACTCGACTTCAGAGAGATAGTTGCTTACAAGTGACCGTCGTCTACATGCGTCAATAAATCGTAACATGTACGCTACCGCACGCCTAAGCCGATTAAATTTAGAAAAACGATTAAATTGAATAAAATTATTAACGTTATGGATTACATCCATTTGTGCAACACATGACAATTCGGTGCGCGTTTCTGGCAGTGATTCCGTATAAACAGAATTTAAAGGCCAGCTTACTTCAGGCTCCTTTAAAAAACTAGGCCCTGACCACCAAATGTCCAATGCCTGAATAGACTCAACACTAACACCACGCGAAATGTAATCCGCTGGGTTATATTGAGTGGGAACGTGTCGCCACACACAATCGCCGGTCAACTCTAATATCTCACCAATGCGATTACGGACAAAAGTGTGCAATTTACAAGGCAACATTTTCAACCAACCCAATAAAATGGTTGAATCAGTCCAGAACACAGTACATGCCGCCTTAACTCGTAATGACTTCACTACCTTATTATAAAGACGTGCACCTACTAAAGCTCCACAGAGCTCAAGTCTGGGAATCGTAGTAGCCTTAATGGGAGCTACTCGACTCTTAGAAACTAATAATCTGACGAGAATTTTGCCAGATTCATTAATGCTACGTACATACAGACATGCACCGTATGCTCCGTGTCCATGGGCGACGCCGATTGCTTTCCATCAGGTGATTCGTCTGCTCGTTTACCGGCTTATGCCATAAAAAAAAAAAAAAAACATTATCGAAATTTGTACACGGTCCTTTGTTTCTCTCTTAATAAATATAGCCTATGTTCATCATCGATAATGTAGAAATCGAACGGAAAAGAATTTTCCGGTACAATGAGTCAATAACTCAATGTACCGGTCAAAATCATAGCCCTCCTTGTGATTTTGCCATAGTCGGATAAAGCAACGTACCATTCCAAACAAGGTAGGTAGTACGTTTATGGTTTACGGTTGTACACAAACACGAAATATACAAAAAAAAGTTAAACTGTCGTTTTTGTCTTGTCAGTGTCAAACAAAATATAAAACTCAAACTGTCAAAATCGCGAAACAGTTTTCTAACCTAGCGTTGGAGCATAATTTCACAACAGTTTTTAAATATTTCAAAGATGTATGAGAACGAGTATATTTATTTTAATTGAATTTACATTCTTTTAAATATTTTTATTCTATATAGTAGTAGAGTTCCTCTCGTCGTGTACACGCGAAGCAAGAAATAGTTTAGTAATGCTTAGAGCGAGAGCGGTATCTGCAATTTACATCGAGAGCCAAGCCCTCGAACTGCTCTCCGCGGCAAGAAAAGATGTTTACAAATTATTCCGTGAGTATTTCGTCTATGTCCGGTTTTGATATATATTGTTGGACTTGGAAGTGTTAATGCAAAGATAACCTATATATTACTGATGCAGATAAGAATTCAAACCTTTAAATTATTTAGAATTAACTTACCTATTTGAGCCATTGGGAGCGCAAGTAATTGTGTATCTCAAAATTTTACTGGAAATTTGAGAAAAAGTGACATGTAATTTTTCTCCGACAACAATGAGGATAATTTTCTTAATGCTTTAAATTTTCTTAATTATAATTTTTTTTATAGTAAATTTAAGGTGTAAATATATATAGTTTTTAGTTAGGTATGTATAATTTTATACAATAAAAGATTAAATCATTATTTTATTTAGTTTCTATATTTTTTGAAATACCAATATTATTTTCTTCTTTATTTTTCATACCTTGTTAGTACACTTTCAAATATTATTTAGTTATAAAAAGATATGAATATAAAAAGCAGTAGCCCACAAATAGCAAAAGAAATCCAATTAGCATGATTATTATAATTATTTTTCTCCTATATGGTCAATTAATTTCACCAAGGAGACTCTGATTGAGTTACTCAATGTCTTTTCTATGGCTGTATCAAATTTCAATTTAAATTTTACCTTAGCTTTTCGTTTAATGTGAGATTTTAACAGAGTAACAGTTCTAGCTCCATTTGTGTGCTTCCATAATTTTTTTTTTTAAGTAAACAGGAGATAGTCTTAGTGTGAGGCCCCTAGCATTTTCTTCTGTGTCATGGTTGCGTTAACAAACATACAAGTTTACATTCACATGATACCCAGACCCAGAACAACAATCTGTGGATCTCACAGAGTTCTTTAGTGCGGGAATTGAACCCGTGAAACTTTGCATGGCAGGCAGTCATCAAATTATTTTATATAATATTAGTTATTTTATATACTGAGCCTTTACCTGCAACTTTGAACAACTATAAACCTTACCAAGAGTAAGGTCAGTAACAATTTAAAAAACCACATGAAGATCTGTGATGTAATTTGAAACATGTAAGCATAGTTACTTTTTATCCTTTTGTGACGCGAGCGAAGCCGCGGGTAAAAGGTAGTACATTATAAGTTAGAGCTTGTTCTCATTGAATGTGTTGCTTGTTGCAGGTTCCAGTTCACTGTCCAGTCAGACCTCCGCGTCACAGGTGAGTACTGTCACTACTTTGGTGAAGCAGTTACTATTTAATCACGTTATAAACCATTGGCATAATGAATGGGTGTGCTGAACTAATGTGCTTGTATTTGATTTCAAGCTTCCGAGGAAAATAAAGCGCTATAGAACGGTAGGTACCATGTGAGCTGCAATAACTGCAGGTCTAGGCCACGGTGAACAGAGTGTCAGGGATGCCAGCTGATTAAAACACCACTGACAAAGATAACTCCTTGGACTTATCATTACTAATAAGTAATTATTATTGATAATAAGTCCATGCTTGCCCGCATCCCTCCTACTATCATTACATTAATTTTGTCCAACAGACAGTGTTAACGTCTCCAAGAGGTGGGTCCGAGCATGCTGCGGCGCAAGGTGTCAGCGCCCCGGGTGGGGGCGGTGCCCCGGGCGGGGACGGCGCTCCGGGCGCGGGCGGTGCGCCGGGCGGGGGCGGTGCCCCGGGCGGCGGCGGCGGCCCGGGCAGGCAGTCGCCGCGCCGCTCCTGGACGCTGGCCGCCACCGCGCTCACGCTCACCGCATCCCTCGGCGGGGTCAGTTATCCATTGCCTTACGATACGTATATATACAAACTCCATGTACATAATGCAATTTTTACAACGACATTTTATTTCATAGTCATGTTTTGGGCAGCAAAAAATAGCTGTACCATAGATTTTTTATCGAGTGGAGATAGTAAAAAGGATTGAAAGCAGCATAGGCGAGATTTTGTTTCTTTCTAACCCATCACTTCCCTAAACAAGGGGATGGAAGTTTGTATGGAGAATTTCGTAACTTTCAAGAAACCTAAACTTAGTGCCATATTTGTGACCAGCTACACATTGCGCACCAATTCTTTTTTATCTTTTGTAAACCTGCCGTCAATACTTTAAAAGAGCGCGAGCGAAACCGTAGGCAGAAGCTAGTCCAAGAATGAAATGTATTCAGTTAATTGAATTCGTATTTTTTCTTTAAAATCTCTGATTCTGATGCCGCCAAATACTATCATTAGTCCTTGAAAATCGTTTTCTATTGGCAGTCAAAGGCTTAAGTAATAGGTCTAATAAGGAGCTTTTTGTCTTTTCACACATCGGGTTACATTATCGATATTTTCACACATATATTTTAATAAGTGAGAAAAAAGGGAACCGTCTATGTTCATCATCGATAATGATTGTTCGATATTTGCTAAGACGTGGAATAATTTAGAAACTAAAACTTCGCTGAACATGTATTGCGTTCTTTAGCTATGTATCGATCTGGTTCAGGCCCTAACAGTTCGTGCACTATTTACTGGACACCCTGTATATCGTGTCAGTTCCACTGTCTCGTATGAGTAGTTACAGTTACTTAATATATCAGGTGTACTTGTACCGCAAACTGAGTGAAGAGATAAAGGACGCGGCCGACGTAGAGCAGGCGCCCGTCGCCGGCGCCCCCAGCGCGGCGCTGGAGCCCGAGCCCGTGCCCAGCTCGGGCGCCGCCTTCCCCGCGCACGTGCAGTATCTGCTGGTGGGCGCCGGCACCGCCTCCTTCGCCGCCATGCGCGCCATCCGCTCCGCGCGGCCCGACGCGCGCGTGCTCCTCGTGGGCGCCGAGCACGAGCTGCCCTACATGCGGCCGCCGCTCAGCAAGGAGCTGTGGCGCGAGCCCGACCTGGCCGCGCGCGCGCCGCACCTGGACGCGCTCTCCTTCCGCCAGTGGAACGGCCGGCGCCGCGCCGTGGCCTACGAGCCCGCCGCCTTCTACGCCGACGTGGAGCAGCTGCGCGACGCGGGCGGCGCCGCCGTGGCGCGCGGCTGGCGCGTCGTGCGCCT